TTAGAATGGTTAGCTCGCTTGACCCTTCCGACTAACAATGTCGGTCGTCACGACAGCTTTTACTCGGGTAGCTAATCGTGCCGGCGGTCCTAAACAAGATCGTCCACATATACAACTATAGCCTCCACATTTCGAGGTCTAGCGTAAAGCTTCTCTCGCAAGTGTTTCCAGATAACATCATAATACCAACCAGATTAAGACACATAGGGCACATATACATGAAAATTAACGAAAAGCTAATTTTTGAAAATTCACAATTCATTTTGGGAAACATAAACATGAACGAGCACAAATTTTCAGCATGCATGTTGAATTTAAAATGCATATAACTTTCAGTCTACAGGTCATATCATGATGAAACGACTTGAAAAATATCCCTAACTCATGCGTCTATCACTTTCATGAAGAACACTCAGGCAGATAAATCATTTAAAGGCACATAATACAGCAAACATCCAAAACACGGGTGCAGTGGATAAATAAAGATTTACAGCTTGACAGGTTCTCAGTGTATGCACAATAACCGAAGCTACAGACATGATATTAGTGAAATTCAAAAGCTCCAAGGTAGCTAACTCAATTCTCTACAACTTCTCGGAAGACCCCACTGGCAAATTATAACATTATCAACAAGTTTAACCATAAAACATTTAGTTTACAAAAACAGCCACAGATCAATTTTCTTAAAATACTGCTCCTAGGTAAAATGGCAACAACTCAAGCTACACAACTCTAATTCATACAAACTCAAAACCTACATAATCTACATATGGAAATGTACAAATTTCATGAAGAAGACTATTTCATAAGAACACGTTTAGTTCACCTAAATAGAGTACATACTCAACACTTAAACAAAATCCTGGTTTCATAAAAACTGGGTGTACATCCCACTTAGAAAAATTATATAAAATCAACTGGAACTCCCAATCATATAAACTCAAAACCTGCAGAAACTACACAAGCAAAGCTAAAAAGTTTATGACGAGAATGTTTACATATCATCACGTTAAAGACATTAATTCAGAGCATATATTTCATGCATACACACAGCCGCTGTTTTAAAATCCTGGGCATAAATCCAACTTAGAAAAATCAAATAAAATCAACCAAAACTCTAAATTGTATAATTCTAATTCCTACGGGCAGCTTACATCATATATAACATTTGTCATGAAGAACAAATTTCTATTCAGGCACGTTAAGATCATCTAAAATAGCCATGAACTAAAATCAAATCCTTCTGCTCGAATTTATCAAAACAGCATGCTCGACGAACTTTGAAAAATAATAACAAATTCATTTTAACCCCAATTCACAAAATTCTAAAACTCGAAGAAACTTCATTCAGAGCACTATAAATCTCATGAAGAACACTTGTCCAAGAAATATTATCTTGTTCGAAAAAAATAGAGCCTAACTGTAGCTCGAAAAATTGAGTTTTTATGCCTTCATCAACTCAAAATGATCACAAAACAACATAGCCTCAAAATCACGTAAATTACACGTTAAGCAAGCCTCGATATCAAGACATAAACATCAATACCATCAAACACGTTGTCCGAGGTCCCACTCGGTCTTATTAAACAAGATAGAAAAAATAAAGTCTTATGCCTTTCACTTGAATTATTACATCTTTTGGTTTGATAATATATAACAATTGACATTAATACATAAATTCAACCTCAATCATCGAAGATCACATATATATCAAATGAACCCGAACAAACCTATCATGCTATAAATGAGACTCTCAACCTAATACACTTATCTCATCATATCACATAAAGGGAAATAAAAAAAAATCACCTTACTAACCATGCTTCGAGCTAGCATGAACTCACCCTTACTAAGGCACAAGAGACATTAAACACATCACACACCAGAGGTCGAACAGAGGCCATGAACATCCATAAAAATGGCAGCCTATAAGATAATGACTCATCTCATAATTTTCAAACCTGGCAAAGGTCCGAAGAGGGAGAATACAATCTCGGTTCTCATTGACCGGGTCCTCATTTGAAGACATTGAATATAATTATATAGCAAGGGAAATTGCTATGGGCATAACTTACCTCGATAACTTGCTGAAACTCACAATGAGGAACCTCTAGAGTACGAACTTAACTCTATATCACTAGAGTTCAACATCAAACACTAGAGTTCACAGTAAACGAAAGGTGGATAGATTTTCTAAGCCCCAAATATCAACAATTCATATCATAAGCAGTTTCATTTCTACTTATGCAAAAATTTAAACTTCACATTTCACATCATAAGTATTTCTCGATACTTATTTAAACACATACCATAAGCAGTGCGGCGTGACGAAGACGAGTGGTCATAATTCAACATCTAAACATATAATCACCTATAAACCAGTCTATAGACACGCAACCTGGCTCTGATACCAAACTGTAACGCCCCACTTTATTTTAAAAGATTTACCATATTTAATTTAAAGAAAATCACTATAAATTTTTCACAAATCTCAATTTAATAAAAACTTAGTGGGCGCTACTTATTTTACCAAAAACTTTTATCCGAAAATGCCAACACATCAGACAGAATGCACGAATAATAAATCATAAACGAAACTAGCATTCATTATGTTCCAAATCATAAAGATAATTCATAACTCCAAGTTCAAAAGGACATAATCAAAATATCTCACCATGAGTTCCTTAAATGAGCGGAAGCAAATAAATAAGCAATAAATAAAAGCATGACCACCACCCGTCTTGTCTCGTCACCCGCCGACTGCTTAACCTGCATCCGTGAAGAGCAAGTGGGAGTGAGGACAGTTAACTATCGTACTCACGCTATGCATATGAATAACATAATAATGGTATGGTCGCAGCATGAACATAAACAATAAAATCATGTCACATCTCTAGCCACATCAATGACTATAGTCTCATCAAAGACTCACTCATGTACATCTATGCTCATCAAAGCTAAGCCATGCCATATCAGTGAAACATGGAAGTGCGTGCCACATCAATGACACAGCCTTCTCATAGGTCTTAATAAGATTTACCTCATTGGGTAACCGTATCTTATCACACGGGGACAACCGTACCGATGGCCATCAAGCTCCCATCGATAGGCTACATGTTCATTTTCATACACAGATCACACCAAACTTTCATCACAATTTAAAATCACACATATGCATAGATAATTTTAGAATAACCCACCTGGATTCCGGATTGATAATAACCCAAAGCAATGGGAGTAGGTCGAGGCTGGACTCCTCAATTACCTACATTGAGTCAAGATGCTACAATCAACATCTATCTTGACTTTAAACGGAAAACACAAAACAGACCTAGTCGAACTTGTTTCGACTAAGTAGTTCGTGAAGTCCTGTGGATGTTGGAACACTAAGACTCGGCACTAAACTCGACCAAACCACATAAGGGAGTTCACATAAATCCATCTAAGGATTGACCAAGTCAAACTCACATCAAAACGAAAAGCAAGTCGATTCCCAACTTTTCATTTCAAAATCATGTTTCGAAAATAGTAATCAATAATCACATGAAAATAGATGGTCAGGCTACCCTACGACTTAAGCTCTGAAATTTTACACAAAATTACATCTCCCAAAAACATGTAAAACCATAATTTTTCAGCTTCAAACTTGAAATACACTATTTTATAAAATTTCGAATAAGATATCAACAAAATAGGAACATCAATTCATACTTGAACTTAATGAACGAATCAGGACTTGCAAATTTAACACAACAACATACAAGATGCTAAAGTCCATGTATAAAAATCTCAACCCTTAACATTGACTGCTACTATTTTAAAAATTCATACGAAATTCAGCAGTTTATCGAATTTAAATCAAAACTGAATCAAAATGGATTCTGAAAATTCCCATCTCTTGACAGCATGATTCTACACATAAAATAGGCATCTCAGTAAAATTTTAGAAGTTTTCATCAAATAACCGATTTATAAAAATTCAAACAATTTTAAGCAGATTCGATAAATAATTTATTAACCATATCAAATTAAGTCCAAAATTTCTAAAAATTTAACAAAACACATAAACATCATAGAGTCATTGCATAATTGAATTTCAGCTCATTTGGTTCACGAATGAATTTATTATGCATTAAACAATATTCTAATCAGAATTCACTTTAATTATTAAAAATAGCTACAGACCTCTAAAAACTACAAAATTTTAACAAAATGCTGACAATGAACAGATAACATATCCCTCAAAATTTCAATTCATTCCGAGCAGTGTGCGATTTTTAAAAATTCAAACACCAAAACAGCGACATATGTGCTCGACAACTTAGCAATTAATTCATAACATGAAATTTCTCGTCCGAGGCCTTCCCATAAGGCCAAGGACTCGACATCGTTCCAATATCCACTGACTTACATGACTTTCGAGGTATCGTTCAATTTCTCATAATTGAAGAAATCCCGAACAACATAAATGACACATAAAATCATAACTTTCACAAAATTTCATGTCGAACCCATTAATCACAAAATATTCACATCTCGTATATCAAATCGCAAAGAGCACATCACGTCATTTAAACACGATAAGCAATTAACATATAGACGATTTAAACGAGACGGGATCGACTAGGTACCGTTCTCGGGAAAAACTCGGAAGAACGAAACGAAAAGACGAAGGCGAGCTCGCGGCGGATGCTCGGCGGCTTCGCTCGACTCGCGACGGAGGAAAGAAAAGGGTTGTTACTCACCGCAAAGGTTCTCTTCTATTTCCCGCCTCTCGACGACTCGCTGCTTCTCTCGAGTGGGGCCCGAAAGGTTGCTGCTCGTCAACAAGGGGTGTCGACTGGGACTTGCTGTTACTCGGGTCTCGGGATGGAAGAGCTGTCGCTGCTCGACGTAAACTCACGGCCAGAGGGCTGCCGCTGCAAATGGCCCGACTTCTAGCTGCTGTCTGTCGGAATCACATGAAGAGGGCGGCTCGCCGGGGTGCCGCTGCAAACGGCTCACGGCCGTGGAGGTTCGCCAGAAAAAGAACTGGCCACGGCGGAGGGCGGAACAGGTGCGACGATCTGCGGTACGGAGAAGGGTTCGCCGGAAGTTGCAGGCTCGGAGAGGAGAGAGCTCGTCGCGAGACGGTGGCCGGGGTCGGGGATGGCTCTGCTCGCGGAGGATAAGGGCTGCGACGGCGAAGTCTGCTGGTCACGGTGGCGCGTGGAGGATGCAGCGATGGCGATGGATTTCAACGTGAGAGAAGAGATTGAGAGCGACTGCTGCGTTTTGAGCGAGAGATCGATCGATTTATTGAAAGAAACCTGTCGCTGCTCTCTTCTTCTTCTCGCGCGATCGAGAGATAGGTGAGGGATTTTTGAGAGAGAGAGGATGGTACAGAAGTGAAGGGTTGCGGCTGGAGAAAAAAATAAGATTAGGGCTAAGTTAACTGAAAACAAAAATTAGGGCCTTAATTAACAGGTCAAATTTGCAAGCCATTTGGACTGGTTCTTCTCAAACACAAACGGGCCGAATTTAAAAATCGGATTGGGCCAGGTAATCTATCCAAATGGACCGAAATTGGAACCCAATTGGCCAATTGAATAATTTCACGGTTCGGATTTAAATGGATTGATGCGGCTAGGCGCAGGTTCTCGGTTTTCATCGGGCTCGACATAACCATATTAAACTCGATTTGATCGCGCGATAATTATATCAAAATCGGATATACATATTATTATATATAATACACATTGATTATTTAATAATAAGACACATTTATCATGTAATAATAATACACATTTATTAATTGATGATAATAAGCATTTAGACATTTTAAAGACAATTAGGCATTTAACAATAATAATAATAATAATAACAAACAATAAATAATAATATTACTAATAAATAATTCTGAAATTATCCATAAATAAACGGGGCGCTACATCGCACGTCCCCTCGCTCGGCCTCACTTCCTCGCTCGCTCATCACATCGGTCGCGTCCCAGCCACGTGCACTTGTGTCGCGCACGACCACTACATCGCCCTTGTCGTCCCATTCGACCAGTGCCTCGCACGTGACTTCCATCACCGCGCCCTGCTCGCACTCGTCCCTCGGGCCTGTCGCAACATCCCAGTCCACTCGCACGTCCGCTCCATCGCAACCGCCCCAAGTGCATGCTGTCCACCCTACATCCTCCCCTCGTGCACCATTTGCCTTAGCCCGTATACGTCGTGCCCGACGCTCCCTCGCGCACGCCTTGCACCAGTCGTGCACCTTCTCGGGCACTACCTTCTCACTCTCGTCGTCGGCCCAAGCCTCATGTTCACGCGCATTTCCCGTCCCGCACCTCTTCTTCTCTTGGCCTAGACTCGCACGCCTCGCGGCTCGGTTGCCGTGTCCCGTCGGTATGCGCGCCTTAGTGCGTGCGCACACCCTTCTAGCACGTCCTTGAGCCCTATCACGCCTAACCTCTCGCCATCTCTCGAGGCCATCATGAATATCGTCCTCGGGCTCGCTAGGGTCAATGACTACATCTTCATCATTCCCGCCCTCTTCGAGAATTTCCTTGTCCTCAAGGATAATGAAATTGATCTCGTCAACTTCTTCGGGCTCTTCTCCTGGATCCTCAGTTTGCAGCTTGACTCGCTTGTGGGCTCGTCCAAATGCCATAGTGCCCTTCTTGTAGTTTGTCGTGACAGATCCCAACGTCTCGAGCCATTGAACCCCAAGTACTATGTTCGGTCCCGTCAAAGGTAAGGCATAAAGATCAACTTTTAAGTCATAGCCTTGTGCAAATATGGGAACTCCTTTGTATAGCTTGGAACTTCTGAGTTCTTCTCCGTTTGCAACCTTCACCCCGAACTGCTTTATGTTCGTCACTGGCGTCTTTAATCCTTTGGACAGTTCCTTGTCTATGAAGTTTAATGTTGAACCGCTGTCCACTAGCACTTCAAGCTCTTCGCCTTGTACGATTGCTGTAAACCGTATCATCTTCGGACCTCTCTCTACATTTCTCTTCTTGCTCTTAATCACATGTAGCAAGGTCTCCTTTCGCTTCATATGTTCGTATTCCTCATGCTTCGGCTCATCCTCGTCAAACTCAAGCAAGAACACTTGCTTACCTGCACACCTATGGCCCGGTGTGAACTTCTCGTTGCAAGTAAAGCATAAGCCTTTCTCGCGCCTTCATTGGATCTCCTCAGTCGTAAGCCGTCGCATGTGGCTCGTGGTTCTCGTGCCATCCTCGGTCGGCTTGGTCTCGGCCCGTGGAGGCATCTCGTCGGTCGCAGCGCCCGTGCGCCGTGCGTCTGTACGTCCTTCGCCTTTGTTGGCCTTGCTCACCGCAGCAATGTGGTCCTCGTGCAGTCGCGCGAACTCCATGGCCAATCGTGTGGACCTTGGTCTATCGAACCTCACTTCAGCCGCTACCTCGGCTCTCAATCCTCCAATGAATGCGCCTACTAATGCGCTCTCGGGCCAATCTCGTACCCGACTTGCAATGCGTTCGAACTCCTTCTGGTAGTCTCGAAGGCTATCATTTTGACAAATTCGGGAGAGTGCCTCGTCATAGTCATAGTAATCACTCGTGCCAAAACGTGTGACCAACTCTTTTTTGAAATCTCTCCATCGAATGGGCTTGCCTTTGGTCTTGTACACATGTGACACCCATTGCCACCAAGTGTTTGCTTCACCATCGAGATAATAAGCGGCGATCTTGACTCTCTCGGACTTGTGCACGTCATTGATCTCGAAAAATTGCATGGCTCGATTCAACCACGCGTCCGGGTCGGTCCCTGTGAACGTAGGCATTGTGAGCTTTGGTCGTGCATAGCCTCGGTCATCGTGGTGGTGCGTTGCGCGTGATGCGCGGGTCCTCCGTGATCGTCCGTCATCGTAGTCGTGGTCGGTCCCGGGGGTGCTCGATGCCGTGGTCGATCGCGAGGTGTGGCTCCTTCGCGGTTGGCGTGTCATGCGCGTGATTTGACCGGCAAGATCATGCACCATGAGCTCGAGTTTAGTGAAATTCTCATTGACAAGGTGTTGGCCATTGCCGATGGACTTCAAACTCTCCTCCAAGGCTTCAATCCTTTCTTTGTGTGTCATCATCACTCGACTCTCCTCTTTTTTTTTTTTTTTGTTGATACTTCACGAAAAAATTCGAAAGAAAAGAAAACAGAATGGGGAAGAAAAAGTTCAACCCAGCACACGATCAATCACTCTCAATTAAAGCACCAATGATGAAGGATCGTGTGTTACGTCTAGCTCGACTCGCTCAAAACCCGCGCCGACGCCTTGGTCCCTTTGCAATAGGTTGCTAATACGCGCGCCGAAGCCTTCGTACTTCGCGATAAATTTGATGAAACTCGGATGTTGGTCCTATTCCAATCACTGTGACGAAACGTGGATGTTGGTCCTATTCCTATCACGAACTCTATGTAAACTCACAAGAGAAAACACATGAGAACTTTGAACACAATGTTCGACTCTTTTATTCACTCATCAACCATAATTTCGAATGGTACATAAGTGGGTATTTATAGATACCAAATAGATCTAATCCTAGTCTAGATAGAACTCCTAAATCATGCAAGTAAATAAATCCTAATGCAACTAAACATCTAGGGAATATAGACTTTCTTAACAATTAAAAGACTAATAGGCACATGCCTTTTTATTTGGACTCCTAACCAAACTAATACTTCTAACTATGCTAAGTAAGTCACGCCCATATCCTTTGCTTGCTCGGCAAGACAATCGCGCACCCCAAACCCTAGCCGTCCTTGTCACGCCGCCTCGCCAGCCCTACTCCTAGTTGTGCGCGGTATCGCGCGCGCGCCTTCCACGCGTCGCCATCCATGCGCCTGCGTGCCCTCGCACATCGGCCCGCGCGTGCTCGCCCCTCGCGTGAGTGCCTCGCACGTCCCCTCGCTCGGCCTCACTTCCTCGCTCGCTCATCACATCGGTCACGTCCCAGCCACGTGCGCGTGTGTCGCGCACGACCACTACGTCGCCCTCGTCGTCCCACTCGACCTGTGCCTCGCGCGTGACTTCTATCACCGCGCCCTGATCGCACCCGTCCCTCGGGCCCGTCGCAACATCCCAGTCCACTCGCACGTCCGCTCCATCGCAGCCGCCCCAAGTGCACGCTGTCCACCCTACATCCTCCCCTCGTGCACCATTTGCCTTAGCCCGTATACGCCGTGCCCGACGCTCCCTCGCGCATGCCTTGCACCAGTCGCCCACCTTCCCAGGCACTACCTTCTCACTCTCGTTGTCGGCCCAAGCCTCATGTTCACGCGCACTTCCCGTCGCACACCTCTTGTTCTCTTGGCCTAGACTCGCACGCCTCGCGACTCGGTTGCCGCGTCCTGTCGGTATGTGCGCCTTAGTGTGTGCACACACCCTTCTAGCACGTCCTTGAGCCCTTTCATGCCTAACCTCTCGCCATCTCTCGAGGCCATCATGAATATCGTCCTCGGGATCACCAGGGTCAATGACCACATCTTCATCACACGGCCAGAGGCTGTGATGAAGATCGCGTGTCCCGATTGTCGATAAGCCACAAACCCGTACCTTGAACCGACGATAGGTGTCTCAGGGTTCACAACCCGCGCCCCTCGAAACGATAAAATTGCAAAAGAAATCAAGAAGAAATCTAAGGCAAAGTGTTTGAACAAAAGTTCGGTTTTTCTATTAATTTCTGAATGATAAAAAATAACAAGAGGAAGGGCCTTTATATAGGCATCAAATAAATCTATTCCTAATCTAGCTATAACTCTAATAAAGGAATAAAATATTAAGTATCCTTAACAATCTAGAAATCATAATGGAATAAGGAAACCAAATAACTAAGGGATCTTGAAAAGCCTTGACTTGCACTCCAAGCCAAAAATCCCTAACCGCCCTACTCGCCACCTTTGGACCCCCGCGCGCGCTTTGCCTTAGTCCTTGAGGAATAGGGTCGCGCCACCTGTCCTTGTGCGTGTCTTGTTCGCGTCCTCGCGCCCCGCAGCTTCCACGCGCGCGTCCCTGCCACCTGATGCTTCATCGCGCGCGTCCCTCGCGCCAGCCGCGTTCACGCCACTCGTCTCACCCTTCGCGACCGCCTTTTACCCGTGCGCTAGTCGCGCGCTCTCCTCTGTCGGGTCTCCCTTGCTCGCCTTGCATGCCCCGCACGTGATGGCTTGCGTCTCACCTGCCTGCCGCGCTAACCTCTTGCGCGCATTATAGGCCCAGCTCGAGGCATTCTTTAGTTGCCTAGCCACATCTGCATCATTCT